GTTAGCTGTGGCTTGTTCTGTCTCTCTGACCTTCCAGCATTCACCCCAATAACTGGCCCTGGGTTTGATTTTATTAATAAGTACTTTTAAGATTCCTGCTACAGGGAGGTGAATGATACAGGAGTTAGGAGGGAGAATTCATTTAAACTAAGGATATATTAAGAAGCCATACAGAAATCTACTACTTCATAGGTTAATTTCAACACACATTTTTAAAAAAAATTTGAACACAGATACTGCATTGGTAGATGTTCCTAAAATTCCTTCTCTTGGGGAGACATAGATGTCTACCCACTCCTCATAAGGTTCTAACAATGGTAAGATTTCACCAGTTTACTCTAGAGAACCAGTATGTTTACTAGGTTTACTTACAGAACAATGGATGAGGAGTTTCAGGCAGAAGCATGGATGACCTTAAAACAGCCATACTGGAAGGTTTGTACCCAGCATGAATGAACCTCTCTCCCACCCATGGGTATGCAGATAAAGTCTCCTTCCCTAATCCTACCCCACTTATATCCTCTGGCCCTTCTCAGAGACCTTGACCTGCTACACATAATTAGATCAGAATTGCATACAGTTGGTTGGGAGGGTTCCCATGAACCGTCCTACCCCTCCTTCCAAGAGTGAATGTCATTAACCAACAAGCCCAACTATGATGACCTTTGCCAACAATCCCAGTCAAACTCCTGAAGATGGTGGCAGTTTGGCTCAGAGGGTAGTCCTTCACAATAACAGCTAATTACAATCCCAGAAGCTATGGATTACTAAATGAAAATCTAAATGCTAGGTATGAGATACTCCCTTACATTGTTTTCTAGGAAGGCTCCAGAATAATACAGGTTATTGTCATTGCTTTTAGTTGCTCACTGGAATTAGATAGTAACACTCTGTTGCTGAAGAAACCATATTACTTTGGATGCAGGATGTGGAGAAATCATACTGAACTGAGCTAGGAGCTTGTTCCATACTGGGTAGCATTCATGGAGTTGCAAGTTGCTATATTGGAGGCCAGAGAGAAAAGCCATCAATAGTTTTACCCCATTGTGGACTTTGCATACTATAATACCAAACATCTAACAAATATTCTGCCCACTGGTGCAATAGTGACATGACCATTAAGGCATTAACCAGCTGTGTTCACAGAGGTCTGCTCCTCAGGAAAAAGTTCATGTCTGATGCAGTTGGACTTGTTTAAAGGCTTATAGCTGGTGAGATCATAGACAGTAAGAGAGAACCTGAGACTTCTAATTTTTTTTAATAGATGATGTCAAATTACCTATTTATGTCTGTACCCACAGATCAGTGTATAGTGAGCCTTGGTCAGAGGCATTTTGTTTTTGTTATTGTTAGTTTTGTTTCAGTAAACAGAGGTTAATGAAGACTTGTGGCGTGGCCAAAGTGCTAAAAATAAGTTACTATCGAGCACTTTGTGTCAATGGGACATCCATATGCCCCCTTCTAAAGCTTGGAGAAAATAATGCAAGAGTGGACTGAAAGATGCAGGAGTCATATAACACAGATAGTGCCATGAAATGTATCTTCTGAATATCATATGGCTATTGTACGTATAAACTCACAGCAACTACAGTTACTTGCACAGAGCCTGCATAATTATGGGCCCATGAATATTCAGTCATAGATGGGAGAGGGGACTCTGGAGGCCCTAACCCAGAGAACTATTGGTAACTGATATCTGCTCGGGGAGGATTCATTGTCTTTAGTGACATAGCTTATGAGTTACTTATGCTTCAGTGGATAGAGCACTCCATACCCATGTTTATGCAGGCAACCATGGTTAAACTCAGTGGGTGATAAAACAGAATGTCATGATAATGGGAGGGCAACTTTTGGGCAGGAGCAAAGGAACTGAAGGGATTAGTGAGAATGGGAAGCTTTAAGAGAGAGTAGAATGGTCTGATGAGAATGTATCATATACACATATGAAATTGTCAGAGTGTAATTATTATTTTTTAAAGTACTGGCTCATGTAATCAGAGTCTAGTCTGTAAGCAAACCCTAAGAAGTTTAAAACTAGCATCCTCTGTCTTTCACTCTATTTCTCTATGAGCATCAGTGCTCTTTACCTATCCAGAAGTCTTCCTTGAGATGTTAATTATAACCAAGTTGGCTCCTGGTTCATATCCTCTCAGCTTATATATCAGAAGGAGATAAGTTTTCATCCTTAATGAAATCTGAAAGCCATCTTAGAGAGCTTTAACTGATTTCCTTGAATAATATGACTATACCATTGTAGCTAGAGTTTTCCTGCCTGACCCACAGTCAGGACAAATCTCTCTCACCTGCCAAGTCCCACAGCCGCTCAGACCCGACCAAGTAAACACAGAGACTTATATTGGTTACAAACTGTATGGCCGTACCAGGCTTCTTGCTAACTGTTCTTACAGCTTAAATTAATCCATTTCTATAAATTTATACCTTGCCACGTGGCTCGTGGCTTACCAGCATCTTCACATGCTGTTTGTCATGGTGGCGGCTGGCAGTGTCTCTGACTCAGTCTTCCACTCCCCAGCTTTATTCTCCTCCTTGTCCCACCTATACTTCCTGCCTGGCCACTGGCCAATCAGTGATTTATTTATTGACCAATCAGCAACATATTTGCCATACATACCATCCCACAGCATACCATGAATTCATAGGAAGAGAAAACTATGAGTCAGTAGGCTCAATTGTTCATTCTTAGGTAATGTCCGAGAGCAAGGAACACAGAAGAGTTCATGCAGAATATGTTAACATAACAAGTATTTCCCCAAATAAGGAGGTACATTTTTTTCCAAAAAAAATGAAAGCTTGCTGCCAAGCCAAACAATGCATGTTAACTATACTTTGAAACCTAAATTCTATAGCAGCTGTCTTACCCTTCAAAATGCTGTATTTGTAGGATCATTAAATATATAAAGTAGTTATTTGGAAAATATTTAAATAAATACACCAAATATTACTGGAACTAAGTTATTGATGGTAATTTGTGGTGATATTGTGTTCACCAAAATATTGTGCACCCTAATAAACTTATCTGGGTCAGAGAACAGAACAGCTACTAGATATAGAGGCCAGAAAATGGTGGCACATACGCCTTTAATCCTAGCATCCCAGAGGCAGAGATCCATCTGGATCTCTGTGAGTTCAAAGCCACACTGGAAACAGCCAGGCGTGGTAACAAGAGCCTTTAATCCCAGGAAGTGATGGCAGAAAGCAGAAAGATATATAAGGCGTGAAAACCAGGAACTAGTCTGGTTAAGCTTTTAGGCTTTTGAGCAGCAGTTTGACTGAGATTTATTTGTATGAGGACACAGAGGCTTCCAGTCTGAGGAAACAGGATCAGCTGAGGAACTGGCGAGGTGAGGAAGCTGTGGCTTGTTCTGCTTCTCTGATCTTCCAGCTTTAACCCAATACGTGGCTCCAAGTTTGATTTTATTAATAAGACCTTCTAAGATTCGTGCTACAGTAGTTGTTTTAATATCTTTTATAAAAACAAATGATTTTGAAGTTAATATGTAATGGTTAATCTTGTCAAGTTGACTAGATTGATCAATACCTAGATTAGGAAAGTACAACTCTGGGAAGGGCATCTAACATGTTCTTTCTGCCATTACAGACTGACAATTCTGAAACAATAAGCCAAAGCAAGTATTTCTTTTTAAGTTGTTTCTTCAGGTATTTTGGTTACAGCAATGCAAAAGTAGATAACACACAATACCTATAATGAGAAAACCAACAGTTCAATGAGGGTCATCTTTGATCATTTTATAGTGAGTTATCACAAAACACAAGGGATAAGTAATTAAATTTAAATTCGTGATTTGCTTTTTCAAGCATAAATCAAATAAAGGCTATATAGAAATTAGATCAATCAAAGGAGCTAAAGAAAAGCTTTCTTGGAGATGAATGAGAGACCATGTTGGAAAAAAATGGGGGAGGGACTTGAAAATAGTGAGTTAGAAATTCAGCTAGAGTGAATGATCTCATGGTCTGAGAGGAAAAAGTAAGAAAATCAAAATTACAGATCAGAAAAACTAAAAATATCTAGGTTATTAAATAGTGACAATTTCAGAAACATGAAGGAAAACAACTGCCACAACTAAAAAGAAAAATAAGAAAATTCCTCAGGCAAGATAAATACTAGATAATATTAGTGAAATAAAATTTATAACTAGACATTATATTGCAGAATGACTAAGCCTTAAGATTTAAAGATAAATGAATCTTACAAAAATACTTCATTAAAAGTTAATTAGGAAAGATAGACAATTGAGTTGTATCACTTAAAGTACTTTTTCTAGTGCTAAGAAAATGTATTCACCCAGTCACCAAATATTTATTAAATTATTATTATGTGCTGGTTAGAACATCAAAATACAGCAGTGAATATACTGGTTAAATTCTCTGCATTGGATTTGATATTTTAGTAAGAATAAATAAAAGTCCAAAGGCAAAATAAAGAATGCCAACTAGAATCATTTCTAAGTAGAAAAACATTATTCTCTGTCATATTTAAGAGATGATAAGCTGATGTCCGTTGTGTGTACGTATGTGTATGTATATATGCATGAGGTGGGGGAGGGCTGGGTTCAGTTATAAGAGTAAGTTATAGAGGCTTGTATTTCTTTCTATCTTAGTCCACAGTAAAATAGCATGTGGACATTAAAGAAGCTCACCTCAGCTCTGCAAGATTGTTAAAATTGCAAAATCCTGAATCCTAAGGAATATCCTCTGCCTTGCATACTTCCCTTCCCCAAATATTGTTTGGAAGATTCCAGGAATAACATATTCCAGTGGTCCTGATACAAATAGTCTATAACTCATTCTGAGAAATCCTTATGAATGGGAATTAGAGAAAGTATGTGTGACTAAAAGTAAAATGAAGTAATAGAAATAAAATTAATACAAAGATTCAAGCTATTCAATTAGAACAAGTTAGGTTTTCATCACTATAAATTCCTAATAGAAACAATGTAAATGGAGGAAACACAACCTACTGGAGGGTACTGCCCACATTCCAGACTGGTCTTCCTTTCTGAGTTAATGTTCCACATGTCAATCTCTGGAAAAAAACCACAAGACAAAAGTTAGAATTGTGTTTGACTAATTTCACAGGTATATCAATCCAGTCAAACTGAAAATCAAAGTTTAACCATCAATACAATCAATAAGTAATTCACAAAAACAGAGATATGCAGTTAATATAAAAGTAACTCCAATATTCAACTTTTGTAAAAATCTGGCCTTTAGATATTTTTGTATCTACAAACATTGCCAATATGATGTGATGAAGTAGAATGAATTCATAGACTGTTGGGAGAATTTTTCTCCATGTGTAGAGCTAAGAACTGTCTATTCTCTTCATACAGTTCCAATGACAAACCAAAGTTCAATTCCACAAGGTTGCTCAGATCATTGAGTTTCTTAGGTGTAGATACAGAGCATGGGTGAGAGATTGCCGGCAGGAGAATGGATGACCTTAAAACACTGGAAGGTCTGCACCCAACATAGGTGAAAGCTTCCCCATGGCTTCATAGGTATAGGTCCCTCCCTTCCTTAAGTTTTCCAAAGCCTATATGCTCTATTCTCTCCCTGAAGCCTGAAGTTAAGTACAATTAAGACATAATTGCTTACAACTAACTGGGACGAGTGACTAGATACTTCAGTTAGGATCCAATGATCCTCCCCACCCACTTCTTTTCTGAGGGAATGTCAACAAAAAGCCCAGTAGTGGTAAACTTTTGAAAGCAGGCACATCTGATGGTTTTAAGAAGATGCAGCAATTTGACTCAGGATAGATTAACAGAAACCAACCTCTCAGTCACTGTGCTGAGCAATTAGAGAATGGTAACAGCCTTTTATTGTTTATTAAAGCAAGTCTGAAATCGGCAAAGGGTTCTGAGACTTTATGCAAATCTCTCCAACTCTCAGTTCATCTTAGTTTCTGTCATTTGACAAATGATGCTTGTTGCAGATATATTTTTAAAGATCCCAGTAATGATTTAAGTGTGTGGTCATGGTTTAAGCATAGCCCAGGCGTCTTCTAAGGATATCACGGTAGATTTTCTTAAGGAAGGCAAGTTTTATAGGTAGAGCTGCTTATATGCCATTCCAGACATGGAAGAAGACGAATTGGAACCGACATTTATTTCACTTAGACTCTAACCGTGGCTTTTCCTAAAGTGTGTGTGTGAGAGAGAAAGACAGGGAAGTTGAAAGGAAACAAACACATACAGAGGCCAGCCTTTTAGGTGCTGTGTCCCGGTAAAGCCCTACCTGGTTTATATTGGTATTGCTGAAGAACCCATAGAATCAGGAAGAGAGAATCGTTTTGCTGTTGTGCTGTTCATGAGGTACACAATTCCTTTGGGTCTAATGTGCACAGTTCTTTTAAGCAACATAGTAACTGACCTGACAAATCCTGCACCAGCTACACAGGCTGAGCGTCAGAGCGCCTCCCCGTGCTCCACCCTGCTCCCCGTGCGGGTTGCTACGTCACGTGACTCAACGGCACCACCTATCAGCTTTGCTCCGAGATATTCAAATCAGCAGCGCGGCAGTTGTTCAGACATTTACACCGGACTACCGGTTTCAGCTACGCGCTGTTTCAGCTGCCTCCATGGACTCTGTCTGGCGCTGACATGGAGGATCAGAACGCTCCTCTTGGACCTTACCGGGCCACCAAGCTGGTAAGAGCGTGGACAAGCTGCTGGGGGAAAGGGACCAGGAACCTAGGTTTTCTGAGGGACCCAGAGATCCTGAGCATCTGGGTGTATGAGGGACTTAGGTTTGCTGAGGGCACTCAGAATTGTTGAATTTATGATGAGCCAGGGATCTGATATCCTGAGGGACCCAAGGCACCTAGATTTCTGAGGTACTGAGGGAATGTAGTTAGTAAAGGCACAGCTCCTGTTCCCTTCTTTGAGTTGCACTCCACTCTGGTCTCTCTCTGCTTCAGATCCAAAGTGCAGTGCCCCAAAGCAGCACCACTTTCTGACTCTGCAGGACAACTCCTCTGGTGTCCTCTTTTCCCTGATTCTCAAATACCACTGTTAGCCACTTTTCATGTTTTATTTGCTGCCTCTCAGAATTAGAAATTAAAATTTCAAATTGGAAGCCCAGGCATGACAATTTGGCTTGTTGGCTCTATAAAATTTGTTGTAGGATGTGTATGCTTCCACACTGGTAAAGTAGGACAGGTATTTGTGAGAGAATAACTTGCTTATTATTCTGTATACTACAACACAGTATATTTTTAGAAAATCTCTTAAAGTGGGTATGTACTACAGGCCCATTGTACCAATGTGGAAACTGAGGTTAGGTGACTCTCTTAATGTCATAAACAGAAGTATATTACTCTATAGGATAGGAAATCCAAATGTACAACCCTGGTGACCACCCTCAGTGGTTACTAAAAGTATTCTGGGTTTAGTTTCAACAGTTCTTTCCTAGTGTCACTTAACAGTCTCATAAATCAGATTAATGATCTGATTTCTAATATCTGACTTTTTTTCTATTAAAAAAGTGATGTATTCATTGTATACTACCTCCTTTACATTCTAGTGTTAATGTCTCAAATCTAGTCATTTGACTGATTGAGGTTAGTTCAGAAAATAAGTGGGTTTTTTTTAATGCTTAAGTTCATTAAATGTGCAATGAATTTATTTATTAATTTATTTTACCATTTTATATATTCTATGTTCACTATAGGTATCCATTTATTTATATATTTGTTTATTTATTTATTTTGAGATAGGTCTTTCTATATGGTCCTGCCTGTGCTGGTACTCAACATGCAGACCAGGTTGGCCTTAAACTTCCAGAGATCCACCAGCCTTTGCCATCATGCCCAGCACTCTAGGGATCTTCATAAGAGATACTGTACTAAATACCTGGCATTGAAAGCACTTTGCTATTGTAACTGTTACATGCCAGAAGTTTTATTTGGCTAGTACAATAATTGAATACAGATTCTAGACAGAGTTGGTTAAACCTTGTCTTTTGTTACTATTGTTTGTTTGGATTTTATTTTGTGATAAGAACCTATAGCATCAGTTCTACTTTTAATTTTGGTGCAGGGTTTCACTAAGTTGTGCAGGCTGGCTTTTAATTCACTATGTAGCCCATCTAGGACCTGAACATAACAAACCTCATGCCTCAGCCTCTGAAATTGCCCCACCAGGCCCACCTAAGCCTGGATTTGAATGCTTATGTTAATCATTTAGATCAGTAGTTCTCAAGCTGTGGGTTGTAACCCCTTTGGGGGGGTCACATATCATATATCCTGTATATCAGATATTTACATTATAATTCATAACTAGTAAATTACAGTTATGAAGTAGCAATGAAATATTTTATTGTTGGGATTCACCACATGAGGAACTATATTAAAGGATAACAGCATTAGTAAGGTTGAAAACCACTGATTTAGATATGTGATCTTGGTCAAGTTATCAATCTGTGCTTCTTTTTCCTTCTATAATAGTAACTGTGGTGATATATTATTTGTGTCCCTCAATAAAGTTTATCTGGAGCCAGGAGCCAGCCACTATATTAAACATAGAAGTCAGGCAATGGTAGCACACACCTTTAATCCTAGCATTCAGGAGGCAGGAATCAGTCTGGATCTCTGTGAGTTCAAGGCCACACTGGGAACAGAGCCAGGCATGGTGGCACACACCTTAAATTCCAACACTGGTTAACCATAAAGGTCTGGAGGTCTGTACAGAAAGACAGGAAGTGACAGAGCTGGGCAGGAAGAGAAAATGAGATGGCAGAACAGAAAGGCATATAGACATAGGTATACAGGAAGTAGCTCTTTTTGGCGAAGGATCTCCAAGTGGTAAGAATGTGACTGGCTTCTTTCTGCTTTTCTGATCTCTCGGCTTTTTACCCCAATATTTGGCTCCGTGTTTTTATTAATAAGATCGTTTAGTACTTCGTCCTACAAGTAACTTCATAAGATTGTGAGATTTACAGTTAAATTATGAATATAAAGCATATCATTAATGTTAAATAAAGTGAATAACCTAATAGTAAATGCTTTATCAAGGACTAAGAAATGGGTACATTACAGTTCTTTTCATTTCTAAGTTTCCTAAGTGAAATGCCCAATGAATGTATAGTAAAAAAGAAAATATTATTTTGGCACTAGAATTAATAATAAATTAGTGAGATATAAGATTTTATACATCACAGGTAAGATGATTTCATCAAAAATATTTACAGTATAATCAGCTGTGAAATAATGAATTTTCTTTGTCTAATGATTTTCTTTATTCCTTTTGGTTATTTTGAGATAGGGACTCATGTAGCCCAAACTAGCCTAGAATTGACTACATACCCAAATCAATAAGATTTCATTTTTTGCTGTGATTTTTTAACAGTATTTTCCTTCTCTTCACAGTGGAATGAAGTAACCACATCTTTTCGAGTAGGAATGCCTTTAAGAAAACATAGACAACATTTAAAAAAATACAGCAATTGCTTCACTGCAGGAGAAGCAGTAGATTGGCTTTATGATCTATTAAGAAGTAATAATAATTTTGGTCCTGAAGTTACAAGACAACAGACTGTTCAATTATTGAGAAAATTTCTTAAGAATCATGTGATTGAAGATATCAAAGGTAGATGGGGATCAGAAAACCTTGATGACAACAATCAACTATTCAGGTACTGAATAGATATGTCATTATAAAATCTAATTACTTCTGATCCCAGCATTTCACTTAAGATAAATAGTCTTCCCTGGTAAAGAACCCCCAAAATAGTTATCCAGTACCAAGTGGTCATCCCTGAATCATACACATACAAGTAAATTCATATGAACTGAGCAGGTTGCATTTATATGTTTAGAATAGTCATACACAATATACACATGAATTAGAGAGCAAGGAGGGGTACATGGGAAGGGTTGGAGGGAGGAAAGAGTAGGGTGAAATCCTGTAATTATATTTTAATTTCAAAATGAAAAAATAAATGTAAAAACAAAAACCTGATATTACAATGAAATTGTAGTTCCACATTTGTTACATTTTTATAGAAATAGCAGCTTCTTTCAGAGAAGTAATGTTTCTTTTATAAAGGTACTACTGCCCTTTTTTCCTCTTTTATTGAAAATAGATTTTTTTCATACAATATATTCTGATTAAAGTTTCTTCTCCCCCACTCCTCCCAGTTCCTCCCCACCTCTACTCATATCAGATCCATACCCTTTTTTCTCTTCTTAGAAAACAAAAGGTATCTAAAGAATAGTAATATAATAAAATAAGGTAAAGAAACAAATAAATCGGAATGTGATAAAACAACCAAACAAGAAAAAGAGCCAAAGGAAAAGTATAAGAAATGCATATAGTTGCAGAGACAGACATTCACACACTCAGGAATCCCATAGAAACTCAAAATTGGAAGCCATAATATATATGGAAAGGACCTGTAATGTAGAAAAACAAAACAATGTCCTGACAACATTATGAGACAAAGAAACTTCAAAGATGCCATTGAGTTTGTTTTGTGTTAGTCATGAACTGCTGGGCACAGAGCCTACCTTAAGAGTGTTTTGTTTCCCCAGAGAGGCTCCCTTGGATAAATCTAAGTTTTCATTTTCAAGTGGCTATCAATTGGAAATAGCTTCTGGGCTAGGGATGGGTGTGTGTCTAATTCACTTTTCAGCTGTAGGACCCCATCTGGTGCAGACATGTATAGATCCTATGCATTTTGCCACAGTCTTTGTGAATTCATATGTGTGCCAGTTCTGTTGTGTATAGAAGGCCTTTATTCCTTGCTACCCTCCATCCCCTCTGGCTCTTATACTCTTCACCTCCTCTTCCTCAGAGTTCCCTGAGCCCTGAGGGGGGGCATTTGATGAAGACATTCCATTTACAACTGAGTGTTCCAATGTCTCTTACTCTCTGCATAATGTCTGACTGTGTAGGTCTCTGTATTTGTTCCTATCTGCTGCAGGAGGAAGTTACTCTTGATGATGGCTGAAGTTAGCACTGATCTTTGAGTATAGCAGAATGTCATTAGAAGTCATTTTATTGGTACATTTTTGTTTGTTTTGTTCTGTTTTAAAATAGAAGTATTTGGTTTTACCCTATGTCTCTGGCTTGTCTAGTCTCAGATTTTGGTTGGTTACTCCCACAAGCTTTGTGCCACCATTGCTAGCATATATTGTAGGCAGGACACCATCATAGATCAAAGGGTTTGTGGCTAGGTTGGTGTTTACGTTTCTCTTTTGATACTGCGCAGAGTACCTTCATTTACTAAAGATGCTAGAACACGGGGGTGAAGGCTCTATGTAGGCATCAGCTCAACCTCTCCATGTTCAGTGAGTTGTGTGGGTGTTGTCTTCAACAGGGTCTTACCATCAGTTTGTGGAGAGCCACCAATAGTCCTGACAATTATCCAGATTGTTTG